GAACCTCCTAACTTTCAAGGTCAGGTCACCAGGTCACTTTGAATGACCCAACCTCAAGTCACTTTTTTGCAACTTTGTCACCGTGCCAGAGCTACAGTAGATGTCGGAGGCCTTTGAAAGTCGCAGGATGTTATTAGGTTATTAGTAGCTACAATTTGCATATCTCGGAATTTTGATATCGGTGACCTAAGGTCAGGTCAATTTCGCGACCTCCCCATTATAAGTCAATGGGGGAAAAATCAACTCCCTGTTTTTACCACTAAAACGGGTCGGAATGGCCCCATATACCATACATGACTTCATATACGATCAACCTTCACTACCTTGAGGTCTGTTTTGCTGTTGGGCAGCTGTGAGGTCATGTGACGTCATCAAAGGTCACCAAAGGTTTTTGGCCAATAACTCCGTACAGGAACAAGATACAGACGCGTGGATGGTCTCATTGTGTTCAGCTCGTCAAGACGCATCGAATGATATACATGATGACCTCGAGGTCACGTGACCTGAGGTCAACCTTTGACCTTGACCTTTCGAGGTCAACATATATATCATTCGATGCGGATTGACGAGAGGATCACGATGATGCCCTTAGTTTGTTCCTATCTTGACTAATTCGAAAGTTATTCGAGAAAACTCTCCATATCTAGCGCCGCCATTTTGACTTTTTCGACCCCTGTGACGTCATCTTTGACCTGACCTGAAAATGACCTTTGTAAAAATTGTAGGTCTTGACCGTGCGTATCCGATGCCGTTTACCGCTTGTCGCTATCTTGCTTCGTTCTCGAGATCTCAGGGGGGGGGGCGGTCATCCGCCCCCCCCCCCCCCCCGTCGGTGCGAAGTTGGCGCAGACCCCCGTCGGTGCGCGGGTTAAATCTCTTTAATAACCAGTTTTAGAGGCCGATAAGTGGGCAGATACATTCAATTAGCTGTTATTGATTGATTATACGAACATTCAAGAATCTAAATCATTCAATTCAAGCCAAAATCACTCGGCGCTCCCAGGATTCGAACTCACGACCCTCGGATGTGTAGTCCGATACGCTACCGACTGCGCTACCGAGGACCGCGCACCAACGATCGGAGAGGCGAGTGGCGGGTGCTGGGGTGCAGAGAAATCTTTACCCTGTACGCCGTAGACGATCGGCTGGGTTTCGTGAAAAATGGTAGAGGAATTGTCGAAAGAAAATTCATCGATCTATGTATCATTTGAGACTTAGAACCGTTAATTTCTTCAAATGATGACCGAGATATCGCTCGCCAAAAATAGGCCATTTAACATGTAAACCCTATGGACTGGTAGGAAATGTACGCCGTGGAGCAGCAGTGCTACCAACTGACTTCGGCGGGGGTCGAGGTACTCAGCCTTTGGAGGATACTAGATTGTCACCATACTGGGCTTTATATTAAAATTTGCATACCAGGATGGATATTTCCAACTAAGATGATTTTTTGCGATATTTATATTTATTGCCTTACTTTTTTTCGAAAAACCAAGACATTCAAATTTCATGATATCAAAAATGATATTGTGATAATGAAAACCAAATTACAAAACAAGTAAATTGCTGAGATCATTCCTACTAAGCTTGGTCATACCCCTAATTCAACATACCCTCAACCCTGATATTGATCGCCAGTGACGCATTTAGCCAGAAACACGTGATCGACTGCATCGATGTGGATGAAAAAGGAGCGCTCAATAACCACTTTCCCCAAATTTCAAAACTAAAATTTGGCCGCTTGTGCGATTTACTACCAGTAAAACGCCTTTTGGGCGAAGAACAAGCGAGCGAGATAGTGAGCCCTGCACGTGCGGAAGGGCGAGAGGGAACTTCCAACGGGCTTGTGCAAAGCATCCTTCTAACCGGTCGCTAGCGGTGTACCAAATTTTAACGCAATTGGCCCAGCCGTTCCTGAGATCTGGTAGCGGCATTCTGCACGTGCGCACGTGCAAACGGGGTCCAACAAACTGACTTTTGCACGGCACCCTACTAACTGATCCCCAACCGTGTACCAAATTAGAGCGCAATCGGCCCAGCCGTTCTCGAGATCTGGAAGCGCCCCCTGCACGTGCGCACGTGCAGTACCACCTTAACCGCAACACATGGGAATGCATTGCCTGGTGGGTGCCTACCTGTATGCCAAGTTTCAGCGAAATCGCCCCAGTAATTACAGAGTTATTGAAATGAGAACAAATTTGGCACCTTTTCTTTTGCATTTTGCACGTGCAGTGGGGGTCACTCACATAGATAAAGAGTATCCGACCTTTGGTAGAAGGGATGCAGCTACTCTACAAAAATTACTGGAAAACAATCGCCCAAGCGACTGCTGAGAAATCACTACTTTTGCAAAACAACTTGAACACCTTTGACTTTTCACGTGGCACGTGCCACGACGGTCACTGAGATGTATCAAAAGTAGTCAATTACGGGGTGGAAGGGATGGGGCTACCCAGCAAAAAAGACCGCAGGCCAATCGGTCAAGCAGTTCCTGAGATATAAGCCTCTCAAAAGCGTTACAGGCCGGGCCGGGCAGGGCCGGGCCGCGCCGCTCATACTGATATTTTTCCGTTATATTGAAAAGACTCGCTTCGCTCGCTGCGCTCGCTCGCTCGTAATCAGCGTAAAAATAAGCACACTTTTAGGTTAATACGCAAATTTCAATCTCAGTTCGCGACCCCCAAAATCATCATCGATTTCAATATTTTAGCACCATTATTGGAATCATGAGCAGCGAAATAATAAAAAAACACTGACCTATTTGGTGACTTTTCCTAAATGCTCATTGCGCACATCTCAGCAAAAAAAAAATGCCGGGTCAGGTCAGGTCAGGTAACCAGAGCGGGTTTGTTGACCCCACCTCAGAAAAGTTTGCAAACACGTCAGAGCTCGAGTTTTTCACGAAGTTATTTCCTCTCATCAAGTCTTCAAAACAGTACCTGCAGTATGTGTCGTTTGTATATCTCAAAATTTTTTATCTGTGACCTGAGGTTAGGTCAGAGTCGTGACCTTTACATTGCAAGCCTATGGAAAAGTATTGAAATGCGACCTGCACCTCGAGTAAACGAGTCAAAACCACCCAATTCTTTAAGAATTATGCAAAATTATCTTATCTGTAATGATCCAGGTGCCATTTACTGACAGGGACACCGGAGAGGGTTATCTGAGCCGAGATCATGTGAGGTGATATCTACCATACATCAATGCTCACAATACTTACAATATTGACAATGCTTTTGCTTACAACACTTACAATACTTACGATGAGACCAGCAAGCACTCTGCCGTTACAGTTCTAACTTCTGTTTCGAAAAACGACGTTACACACATTCGCTGCCAGCATAACATGTATTGTTTGACAGTAACAAAATACAATTGACATCTGAACCCCAAACGGACCGCCATCCACTCAAATTTTATAACCCTGACCGGTCAGGGGGCGAATGGAGGTCATTTCCTGGGCATTACACTCAGCCCTTGCACAAAATATCTCACCTCACAGTGATCATTACAACAATAGCACCGACTTGATAGTGGATTTCAAAGTACTTGCATCAGCTCTTCCTGCTATTGCAGACGATCATCTCCTCAGGGTAATGTTGTTCGGGACATGAACGAAGATCGTTTTCGGAGTTTCATAAGTGCTACTGCAACAGCCTGGCACAAAACAGGACTTGTACGCTCTTCTCTGCACTTTGCCCTTCAGTATATCACAAAAGAATTGTTTAGAATCCATCTTACGCTTCTTTCACAGTCTCCCTTGCCACCGTAGGGCGTAGATAGATTGCTGTTGCTGGTAAGTTAAGGCACGGTAGATAGAAATTACCTCGGTTCTCAACGCCTTAAGTTATTTTCATAAAAAGAACAAATAAATGATCAATAAGATGACAGGAATGTAAAAATTTTAATCGTAAAGTAGTCCAAATAATGGAATGAGCTTCTGCTTTTCAGCATCCTCCGATTCATCATCTTTATCATTTGAAAATTCGAGGTACATAAAATGTTTATCACGCGCTCATGTTAAGTGGGAATATAGTACACGGCAGACACATCAATTTTTGACACTGAACATTTCATCCGTAAATGTTTTAACATAATTTAAAGTTAAAAACAGCGCGAATGGCAGAGTGAAGCAAACAACATCTTTCACCCATTGATATCACATGTAATCTGTGGTGCGCCAGATGCGCCATTATTTGTCAACCGCAGAAGGTGACATGTGACGTAACAGCATCAAGAGCATCTTTTTTCAAGAACTTTTCAAAACAAGTTTCCTATCTTTCTTCCCCCATTTCTCTCAGCTTATTGATTTTATGAGGCAATGGTATGCACCATAAATTCTGTGAAAATAGTTTGATCATTTTCATGCATTCTTAAAAAATCGAGTTCCCAACCCCATTGGACAAACCAGCACCGACACGCCAACAGTCAAAAACCTTATCATACCACTATCGTTGCAAACCCTATCGTTGCAAAACAGGGTCGCTCTCGCTCTCGCTCTCGCTCTCGCTCTCGCTCTCGCTCTCGCTCTCGCTCTCGCTCTCGCTCTCGCTCTCGCTCTCGCTCTCGCTCTCGCTCTCGCTCTCGCTCTCGCTCTCGCTCTCGCTCTCGCTCTCGCTCTCGCTCTCGCTCTCGCTCTCGCTCTCGCTCTCGCTCTCGCTCTCGCTCTCGCTCTCGCTCTCGCTCTCGCTCTCGCTCTCGCTCTCGCTCTCGCTCTCGCTCTCGCTCTCGCTCTCGCTCTCGCTCTCGCTCTCGCTCTCGCTCTCGCTCTCGCTCTCGCTCTCGCTCTCGCTCTCGCTCTCGCTCTCGCTCTCGCTCTCGCTCTCGCTCTCGCTCTCGCTCTCGCTCTCGCTCTCGCTCTCGCTCTCGCTCTCGCTCTCGCTCTCGCTCTCGCTCTCGCTCTCGCTCTCTCTCTCTCTCTCTCTCTCTCTCTCTCTCTCTCTCTCTCTCTCTCTCTCTCTCTCTCTCTCTCTCTCTCTCTCTCTCTCTCTCTCTCTCACCTTCTTCAGCACATTGATTTCCAGCTTTATCTCCTCCTCCTCGTCCTGCGGGAGCGACACACGGTTCGGTCAGCTCCATACCCGAGCCGAAGACGCTGCCAACTGAACTGCCGGCTAACTGCCCGTCAGTACCGTCAGTGTACCGACCCCCTCCCCCGTACCGTCAGTACAGACCCCCGTACCGTCAGTACCGACCCCATCCCCCGTACCGTCAGTACCGACCCCCTCTCCGTACCGTCAGTACCGACCCGCTCCCCCGTACCGTCAGTACCGACCCGCTCCCCCGTACCGTCAGTACCGACCCCCTCCCCCGTACCGTCAGTACCGACCCCCTCCCCCGTACCGTCAGTACCGACCCCCTCCCCCGTACCGTCAGTACCGACCCCCGTACCGTCAGTACCGACCCCCTCCCCCGTACCGTCAGTACAGACCCCCGTACCGTCAGTACCGACCCGCTCCCCCGTACCGTCAGTACAGACCCCCGTACCGTCAGTACCGACCCGCTCCCCCGTACCGTCAGTACAGACCCGCTCCCCCGTACCGTCAGTACAGACCCCCGTACCGTCAGTACAGACCCCCTCACCCGTACCGTCAGTACCGACCCGCTCCCCCGTACCGTCAGTACAGACCCGTTCCCCCGTACCGTCAGTACAGACCCCCGTACCGTCAGTACCGACCCCCTCCCCCGTACCGTCAGTACTGACCCGCTCCCCCGTACCGGCAGTACTGACACCTGGGGCATTCAACGATAGATCGTACCACTTTTTTCCAATTTGACACCCTCATCTCTCGGATTTTAACGATAATTGGTCTAAGGGGTAATCAGGGGCTCTGAATCCTCCTGCGGCAATTTCAGGCTTATCAGATGAGTAGTTTTTGAGTTATAGTGTATAACATGTTTTGGATCTTGCGTTACAGCGCCAAGTTTGGCGGGCTGTAACTCCAAGACGGATAATCCAAATGCCAAATGCTATACGGCATTGAACTTGCATTGAAACAAAGAATAATATGCATTTTTGAAATTTTGAAATATAAACTATTTTTGATATATAACACCTCGAGCTTCCTTTCATTTGCATTTTTATGCCTTTGGGACCAAATTTTTTTGAATTTTTATTTTCTTAAAAACATTTTTGGATCATTTTTAAGTAGTATGCAAAAAATTAGGAAGGTGTTCTTTCTCTAAATGTACTTATTTTGCGTTACCGTAATGGTCTCAAATTGTGATTTCGGGAAGAGAGCCTACAAATGGCGTGGTAAAGCTGCCTAGTGACATCACTGGTTACTGAAAGTTCAATTGAAGTCATTTGTGCCTGACTTTTGCATTGTTGACCTTGCGTGACGTCATTCGTACGTCACTAGGGTCATAAGAGTTTTTCGTCAATAACTCTCGATCAAATTGAACTAGAGAGACGGGAAAGCTACCAATGGACTCGGGAAGACCTTGCGAATCGAATGATGTGCAATATGATCTCATTGACCCAGATTCGTGGCCTGACCCGACTGTTAACCATCTCTGTGGCGGCGCTGTTTGTCCAGCGCCGCGCTGGTTGGCTTTGCCGCGGACTCGGCCGGTCACGTGATGCCCGGGGGCTGGCTGCCGGCTGGGCCGCCCGGTCGGGGAGCGGAGCCAAGTACACGGCAGTGTGCTGACCCGAGGTCAGCGACTTATGCTGACCTCACCAGAACAAACAGTATACCATTCGACGCGCCGGAGCTAGGCAAACACAAAGGTGCTAAAATCGCGGCTCTGCGACCATTTGTTGCGATGTTATCTACCAAAAGCCGGACCCGTAATTTGGGTCACTTGAAATGACCTCAGGGTTCACCAATGAACCCCAGACCTTAAAATGTGGTATCATTCGATGCATCTTGTAACGGCGCACTTGCTCGTTTTTTTCCGCAAGGTTCTAGCTCCATTAGAGGCGAAACGGCGAGCTGGGGTCGTACCGACCCCCCGGAAACCCATTTTGTATGCATTAAAATGAGGAACTTATAGAAAGAACACCTTTCTAATTTTTTGCATGTCGATTTTAAATGACCTGAAGTTTATTTTGAAGAAGTAAAAATGGCAAAAATTTTGGTCCCAAGGGCCATTATAGACAATTTTGAAAAATATTCCGACTTTTTTCAATATGTAAAGCTTTTCTTTCCAATTTTAAAAAAGCTGTATTAATCCTTGCTTCATCGTCAGTTCAAAGCTGTTTACCGTTTGTTCCTTGCTTGGCTCGTTTTTGAGTTATAGCTCCTCAAACTCACCCTTACAATCTGAAGTTTAGAAAATATTATGCAATATAACTCAAAAAGTTTTCATCTGAGAAGTCTGATATTTTGGCAGGTGTTTTTGGAGCCTATGATTACCCCTAGTACCAATTTTCATTCAAATCTGAGGGATGAGGGTGACGGGCCTGGTACGATCTATCGTGGAATGCCCCACCTGTCTCTGATTCTCACCTCTGTGATGTCCATGCATTTGATGGCAGCCAGTTGTCCCGTCTTGGTGTGACGGCCCTGCGAAGTCGCACAGGCCGGGTCAGCACCGGGCGAAGGAGAAGGGGCACAACACACATTCGTTATGGCTGAACTGTTACTGAGAGAGGGGTCCAACAGGCGGCCGAACCGGGCCGGGCCGCTTCCCTCACCTTGTACACCTGTCCGTAGGTGCCATTGCCGATCACCTCTATCAGATCGAAGATGCCGGCCGGGTCCTGTAATGGCACAGAGCAGGTCAGCTGCGAGCGTGTCCCCACGGCACGGCACCCAGCACAGAGTTGGCTCATTTCAACCAGTGCATGTTTAAACTGGTCTGAGCCATGGCTAAACCGGTCCGCATTAACTAATAAATAGTTCCCAGAAGTTTGCAATGTATTGCATGTAAATGGCTAAAAACAAATTTCATAGTGATTGAACCGGACTTGTTTTGTGACATAATATGCAAAGCATCTTTAAAAACATTCATAGGCGGCGGGACGGGCAGGGCACCGGGGCGCGTATTCGCCAACTGTATTACACGAATCGGCCGACCAGCTAGCGCCATCTCTTGTGTGACGTCATTACCATCCAGGACAGGAATACATCCATTGAGGCAATGGGTCTGTTCCAGTCGCACTTCCTAACACCTCTAGACTCCTCCAAGATTGCTTCCCTGTTCCAGTGGCAGCTCTAGCCCCTACAAAGCCAAGGAGGGCCCAGCCAGCCTCCTCTATCTTGCTCTTGGAGGAGTTTAGAGGCGTTAGGAAGTGCGACTGGAACAGACCCTAGGTTTGACTTCAAGGTTAAATTGCAAACAGCACTTCCGACCAGTAAGTCGTCGTACCCTAGCATGTTGTGCGGGGCCGGCCCGCCGGCCGCTCGGCCGGGGCGCCGGAAGGGCGGTCTGCGCCCCGGCGCCCCGCTCGGGCGGTCGGTGGTCAGGGGCGCTGCCCCTACGAATGCGTGTGTACTGTGTACTGTTTTATTTTCCATTTTCATATGAAGAAGTAGGGCAGCGCGGGCGGGGGCAGGAGGCCCGTCTGGAGCGCCGGGGAGGTATCCCACAGCTCTCCCCGGCAGGGGAGGTACCCCCCAGCTCTCCCCGGGACCGGGATGGCACTATGTAGCTTGAGTGTCGTCCCGGTCTGGCCAGACGGGCCCAAAAAATCATCATCATGTGTTCACTTTTAATAACTATCCTGTCTCTGTTGATATGATGAATGTGTGTGTGTGTGTCAGATGATGTAAATAAAAAAAAAATAATAAAAGTAAGTCGTCGTAGCCGAGTGGTTAGAGTCTCGGGCCAGTGTCTGAATGGACGGTGGTTCGATACTCACCACGAGCGGCAGCATTTTCTGAACAAAAGAAAAAAAAGTCGGGCATAGAAAATCCTTTTTGGCCGCCTACGATTACGTTCACAGCCATAGCATACGCCCAAGAAATCATGGCAAGTATTCATCCCATGAAGGAATATGTTGCAAAAAAAAAAATGTTTGCTGTATGCAGTTATGTACTTAAACTAACAAATTTGTTACGGCAGTGTCGATATTCGTGACATCAAATCGTCGGGAGATCGAGACGGCTTGCTTGAGCTATTCCGAAACGCGCCCGAATGACAAAGGATTCCCGTGTTTTTTTTTTTCGTCGATCAGATTAGGCGTATATTAAATTAATTACATGCCGTGAGCACTGAGCATGCAGCTCCTCAGCTCCTCTTATTTTGATATAAGTATCGACAAACATTGGTCAACTTATAGTTCATTCAATAACGCGTCTCGACGAGAGGAACACGATGCTGACAAAAGTAATGTCCATGCTCTCGAGTCAAAAGCTATTACCAAAAAACGGTCATTTTTAGTTTTTGCCCTCTGGAGGCTAAACAATTGACCTGAGGCCAAATCTGTGAACAATGCATCAGAAAGGCCTGTAAAAGAGCTATCGCATGCGCTTTTCCGCGGCGCTGTAGCTCAATTGGTTCCCGAGTTATGCGTCGGGGTGTTGTTATTGAAAAGTTATTGAAAATGTGTTTTTCTTTTAAGTGACTTTTTTACATAAGGTTATCCAATTCAACACCATACCTACCCAAGCCATATTATATACCATTACAGTTGGGGAAACTACGAGGCGAAGATCCAAAAATTGATCGGTCAATAAATAGACTTTTGAGTTTGGATGACCATAATATAGGTACCTATGGGCATACATGCAGACCTCGCTACTACGGGTGAAAAACGGTATAACGTGCCGGTACTTGCGGTATCGCGTCCACTTATCGCAGAGAAAAGGCTTCCATTTTCCACTAGGAAGTAACGCGATCCGATTAAATTCGACGAATTCACCCGAAAATGGCGATAGGGAAAACGGCTTTTCTGCAGGTTCCGGGCCTCACAATCAGCTGGCCATTCCATAAATAGATCGGTATTTTGAAAGAAAATTGTTTTAAGATTTAACTTCATTACAATAAATAAATAAATTAAATTTTTAAATAAGGATTTGACCACAATTGGAAAAACCATAAACAAAATAATAAAAATAATGACATTTTAAAACCACGGTGCTGCGTACATTTCTTTGGCGCGTCTGATTCAATCCGCCATATTTGCCAATCACTGTTAGAACTTGTATGTAACTGTGTGGTTTAGAGCCGCCAGTACATTGTGCACCGAGTGAGTGTAAGCCTTGTGTGGTTAAAAAAAAATATTATGCCTCTTTTTTTTCATTTGAATGCTGGAATGCATGGAAAAGATGAAGTTTTCTGATTTTATGACCATATATGGGCATCGCCCCGCCCACTGCAGCCGTTGATTGGCTGATCAAATTTTAGTTCGGCGCCTCGTAGTTTCCCCAACTGATTATAGGTTGCGTTTTCAGCTTTTTATTGTGTCTCAAATCAGCTACAAAAAGACGAGACCTCACCTCGTAGAGCTTTACAGAGAAAATTGAACATTCGAATCAAAGCACTACATAGAGTGGGTCACTGACATCCAGGGACGCAGGCTTTTTCAATGTTGGACGGCTCAACCTCACATAATATAAATAGGGGGTGAACCACGGATGTCGACCGGTCCTGGTCTCATAGCTCAGTCAGTAGAGCGTTGGACTCCGCGTGGTGAGAGCACGTGTCCCGAGCTCTGTTCGCCCCCCGTTTATTCATCAGCAGGCTGCGACCATGCTGCTACTTCTTGGCTCCTCATTGGTCGAATTCAAGTGGTCTATTCGTTAGACCAATGAGAGGCCAAGCCGCGCCAGCAATAACTTCCTTATATGGGGAAAACCGACAGCACGCTGATATAAAAACAGCGACCGAACAGGGCCCCGGTTACAAGAGTTCGGGTTGGAAGCACGACCAATGTTGGAAATAAGACCCTTTGCTGGTCCCCGTCGGATTCAAAAGATTTTGTTCTCCTCTACAAATTTATACTCTGGCACCTGAAATCTTCTAAATTTCCCAGCCTTTGTGATAAAAAACTGCTGCTATTATTACACCTAAAATATGCAGAAATAGCATCGAGACTCGAGAGGGACACAGTTAATTGGCTATTATACATTTAGCAGGCCACACATTTGATTTTCCTGTTGGCTGTTGTAAACGCTGGCCAGTTCTCCGGACCGATTTTATCATCCGGGACCAGGACCGAAAACGACAATTCCAACATTGAGCACGACGGGCGCTCAGTCATTATAAGCATCCTGACTGGTATGGTTGCGGTTGGTGGCAGGACAGTAGGGTTGTTAAAAAAAAAAAAAACGAATTTTGGAAAAGTATATGGGCTCATGGCTCATGTGGTGCGGTTATCTTTCTGAGTCCAATGATACCTTTTTTTCCGAAAAGTATTACTGCTAGGCGCTGCTCAAACGGCTTAAAGAGGACCATGTTACGCCCGCCGACCGGCCGGTGTCAATAAGGGCGAGAACTCGACGCCGCGCGCCGGCGGCAGCGCCTTATCGGCACCGCGCGCCACGACACCTGCCGGGCGGCCGGCTGGGCGGTGGGAAGTTGTAAGTGCGTGGTCTTATTGCACACGATCGGGGTGAGCTATCCCATGTTTTCGGGGCGGAAAGTTTCAGTGCAGCATCGGTGCGTCTGCCACGGTGGTCTGTGTCGATGGTACAGAAAATAAGTCAAACAGAGCTCAGAAAAGACTGAATGATTCCGGGTAGTTGCCTCGAAACAATCCGTTTCAAGAATACAGCTGCCTTCTTAACGTACCGTATCACTTGTTAATTCTTCAAAAAGCAAGCTCTGAGCAATAACAGACTTCTTTGCATTGCTGTTCACAATTTAAGTTGCTTTTAGACGGTGGCTCGCAGCCCCAATATGCTGCCGCGTAACTCTATTCCAACCACGAAACGGCAACTTAGCGAGAAGATCGAAAATTTAACGAAGTAGGAACAACAGGAGCTGGCAAGGCTCCTGCATTGGTCTATCCGTCATGAGTGACACACCGGGGTAATGTGTCACGTCAGGGCAGAGCTGTGTTCTATGCCGGGTCTGGATTCGGGTCTTGATCGGCATTGGTGGGCACGGCCGCCCTGGCCGGACTACCGGCTTCGCTTATGCTCGAAGGATTGGATAAACGGCGCTTGATTTATATGAGTAGGTACTCCGGCTAATGTCTCTACTCAATTCATGTCTCACTTCGTCACACTGTCAGGGTGGCCACCCTGTCATTCCCAGACATGTTATGTTTTCTTTCGACCAGCTAATCTAAGTTAAACCTGGCGTCGATTCTGTTGCCCCAGCATCTGACATCAACGTATCTGAATAATGACGTTGGTGACGCCTATGCTCGTCAAAGCCACCCCCAAACCTGGGCCGATGACTGTCGGGTCTCCTCCATATTCTGTCCTTGTGCATACTGCATTGCCAGCCCCTGCTGTACGTATATCGTGAATTTTCGATTCGCGCGAAGTTGCCGTTTCGCCGTTGGAATAAAGTTGCGCGGCAGCATATTGGGGGTGCGAGCCACCGTCCAAAACTAACGTAAATTGTCAACAGCAATGCAAAGAGATGTGTTATTGCTCAGAGTTTGCTTTTTGAAGAATTAGCAAGTGATACAGTACGTTAAGAAGGCAACTGTATTCTTGAAACGGATTGTTTCGAGGCAACTACCCGGAATCATTCAGTCTTTTCTATGTAGCTCTGTTTGACTTATTTTCTGTACCATCGACACAGACCACCGTGGCAGACGCACCGATGCTGCACTGAAACTTTCCGCCCCGAAAACATGGTATA